AAAGTTGTATAGAAAGGCATTTTGTTAAAATCAGTAAAATAACAGCCAAGTCAATCTTTCCATGTTTGCAGTGTGCAAAAAGTCTGTCTCTGAGGCGTCTCAAGGATCATGCCATTTTAAACTACCTAAACTCATTTTGACGAGTTTGGGCATAAGAGATTATGCGACGTTCGTTACTGATTAATGTTTTTAATTGTTCAAGTTGGTAGTAGTTTCGGCCAAATTTACAATCGTTCATTTTAAATATTAATAATAATAACGCTACTCTTTTCTAAATGTGATGTGTTCTAAACTATTAAAAGTACTTTCCTAATTTGTTTAGAATTGTTTGACATTAAGTTTCCGCAGAGGTCTACAATAAATTCTTTTGTAGAAAAAATTCTTGATGTTTAAAGAAAAGAAGATAAAACTTATTTTTGTATTTTAGCGTAAATTTCTCTTTACATAATACGCGTAAAAACCTGTCGGTTCTTCTGAAAAAATACTTTCTTCTGTTTAAAAAATGACTCATAAAAGACCTTGTGATGCGCGCAGACAATTTTTACGTTGATCAAACGCGAATATATAGTAGATATCAACCTGAAACACGGAGAAAACTTTCACTTTGAGAATAGAGAAGATTGCAAGGAAACAATCGAAATATCTTGTGTTAGACAGAAGGTACATGTATATATATATATGTATGTGTACACAATAAGCATGCGAAAGCTGAATAAAGTAGCCCCTCTATTAAATTTTTGGTGGTGGTTCAAATGCCCTGATTTTGCCGTTTCTGATACTGACCACAACTTCTAGTATTAGTAATATTTTCATTCTGATAGTAACTAAAACTAATTTCTAACAAACTTTTTCAAAATATGAATCAACTAAATGTTTCTGTAGTTCTTCTTGTTTGTGCTTTCCTTTTGCCAATTATATGTAGAGGTGACACAAAAATAGACACCAGGAATCTGCTATATCTAGAAAATCGTGAGTATCGTTGTCTAAAATTGAGATTAGGTAACAATATTATCCATTTAAATATGACAAACTTCTAACAACAAAAAAATAGCAAAATAGTGATGTCCGCAGTTCCGTGAATCACTAAATCATCATTTTATTTTTGTATTGAGTCAGAATAAAAAAAAGCGAATACGAAAATGTGTATTCTTATATTCTTTAAAATGAATTAATGATTTTAGAGCTTTATGTGCAAATTAATGCATGGTTACTTAAAAAAATTGAATAAATCCAAAAGGAATATTTCTTTAGGAAATTTGTTTTTTAATTTTGTTATTAATTTTTTTCGAGTTTTTAGTCGTGAAGGGTTTGTAGATTTTAAAACATGGATATAAAATCTAAAACTGTCAGAAATAAATCCTGATCAAAGAACAGTTTCCTGTTGTAAAATTTGGAGAAATTGTTCATAATTTTAATTTCGCTAGTTGCAAAGCAATAGAAATAATGTAGGCATCGTCTGTGTATGTAATAAGGGTGCGATTCAAAATAAATTTTGTAATTTTTCTCTTTTTAAACATCAGGTTTAACAGCTACAAGTACCTAAATCAATTAAGAACTCTGATCAGAAAAGAGCTCATAATAATCATGTTTATTGCTGGCTCATTAGACATAATTGAATTGTTCATATTTTTAAGTTTATTGATAACAGCATAACATTTTCGATTAAATTATTATCAAAAATCCCATTTTATTGTAAAATCGATTTTTGCTTGACTGTAAAAATGTTTCTAAACTGTGGAAACTAATTATCTAACGAAATGTTGTTTTAACAAAAGAAAATCATAAGGACTTTTTAATAGAACATCTTATGAACTTTTGAATGGACTTTTCCCTATTTTTGTCCACCAAATATACACGAAAATGTCTAGTGAAGTATTAATTCTTTCCATGCCTTTTTTTTGGAAAAGTTCTGAAAGTTCTCCTTAAACCAGAGTTCTTCCCGTATGTACTTGCAACTATTGAACCAGTTAAAAAAAAAACAGAAAATAAAATTTTCAGCAGGACCTACCGTTGAACGATGGCCCATGCAAAAATGAAAATGAAAAGACTTTCTTTAAGGTTAAATATTTTTTTCAGACTCCCCTTTCTACCCTTCAAGTTAAAAAAAAAATAAAATTATCGCTATAAAACTGAAACTGAAAGCACTATTGAAATGTTTAAACTGAACCTTCCTTAAACAATTCAACAGACGTCTAGTTATTTCTGTGATAAATTTTTGCCAATTAATTAATTATATACAAAGTTGTCTGTATGTCCTTACAGTAAAAACTAAAAGTAACACTCCATCGGAATCTCCCAGTATACCATTCCTGTATTTATTTATATATATGTGTGTATCTTTGCATGAGTAGATTTACAAGAAAATACATTAGTATGGAGTGAAAGTCTTAACAAGTTGTACTTGTTTATAAAAGGAAATTAAAACACCTGTTGTAAGAACATTGCATAAGAAATAATGAGACACTATATAGTATACGGACGGATACGAACATGTATTAAAAGTAACAATTACATAGAAAAGTAATTATTGTTTATTAAAGCATTAGAAAAAAGGTTACGAGAATTGCAAGAATGTTTTAGTAGATATGTATGTAACGCTTTTTCTTTAATTATTTTCAGCACCATGGTTGAAAGTTTGTAAACGAAGTGATCCGAATTTAAACTCATGTATCAACGAAATGTTTAAGAATATGTTTCCATCTTTAGCTACAGGTAAAAGTTACATTATAATATTACTTTACGATTAATTTGTCGTAATTTTATGAAGCAAATTTTGCACGAATTGAAAGAGATTTTTTTAGTTATTACATAGGAATGATATTTGATAACCACACATATTACTAAAGGATTTTTTCATTCTATAAAAGATTGCTTTGTATATGTCGTTAGGTATACCGGAAGTTAAGATACAGAGATTTGAACCTCTTCACTTGGACAGGGTTTCGGTGAGCAAAGGATCCGGTCCGATTGTTTTAGCAGGAAGTTTGTATAATTTAACAGTTTTTGGACCTTCTAATGCAACACCTACATATAATGAGTGAGTTACAGCAATTTTTTAACAACTTTAAATGGTATTACTTTGGTTTTGATACAATTTCACTTACTTTGAGGATCTGAAAAGTATAGTTTTATATTTTTGAGGACAGCATAAAACAATACTATCAAAACAAATACATAAAATTAGGTAAAAGCAATTAGCCAAGAGGTTTTGTTCGAATAAAAGTTTTACAAGAAAGAGAGTAAAATAATTTTAGCTACTACATCCTCATTTGCACGTATCTTGTGATAATTTAAAACGACATGGACCATGACCTTTATTTATACATTTTTACCTCATTTTACAGTTTCCTGAATCTACATTTTCAGTGACATTTTGAATTTTTAATAGTGGTTAATATGAAATATTAATTTGAAAATTCATTTCCAATTCTCTATCCATTACAAAATACCTCATGCTAATGAGGGAAAATTTTTGTTGCTGTTTTCATACCCCCGACGGGAATCGAACCCGGGACATCAGAGCATTGTGCGTAAAGACAAAGATCCCAGGTTCGATTCCCGGAGGGGGTATAAGAACAGCAACCAAAATTTTCCCTCATTAACTGGATGTAGTTTGTAATGGATAAGAATTGGAAATGAATTTTCACATTAATATTTCATTTCCATTCTTAGTTGTATGGAAAGGAACATGGCTAATATAAGTAGAATAACAGCCAAGTCAATTTTTTTAAATTTGTAGTATGCATGCGATAAGGTCCGTCTCTGACGCGTCTGAAGGATCATGTCATTTTTATTTGCCTATACTAATTTAGTGTGCTTGGATATATGAGATTGTGCGACTAAAACTAGCCTTAAAAATGTCCAACAACCTGGGCGAAACATTGACTGTGGTTTTTTAAATGAAATGATTTTAACCCCAGTATTGCTTTGATTATAAAAGAATTGAATACGAAATAGGGGAAGAAGGTCATATAAGAGTTTCATTTGATTATATCAAAATCAGTTAAACCACAAACGAAGTGTACATTTCTGCAATATAATATCAAAGGTATTAATAGTAGGGTTGTATATTAATGATATGGTACAATTCCTCCAACGATTGAGTACATACCTATCAAGAAGACCGTTCGATTTTAGCCCAACCATATTCCAATTAGTATGATAAAAATGACCGTTTTTCCAATATAAAACACATTTATAATTATAATATTTAATTTGCTACATCTTAGCTGTAAGAAACTAGCCCGGTTCCTCCACCGTAATTATCAATTGTAAAAATATCGCAACTGAACAGTTTGTAATTATTTCCTGGTAAGAATAATGTAATGGATTAATATTATAATTATACACTTTCATGCATAGCAGATCAATTAACTGTCAATTTATCGTTAGTTTATTTCCAGTATGTCGACAGATTTTCTATAGATACTTAAATAAAGAACTACCATAAGCTACCCAAAGTAGTAGGTTGTATGCATATCTTGATGGAAAGTGTTCATTTGAAAGAAAAGAACTGGATATTTTCTCAAAAACGTTTCATTTTCAACTATTTTCACATTTTCTGCTTCTATATTTCATTTTATTTGACCTTTGAACTAGTGATGCACAAATCTTGACCTTGGTCTTGCTCATGTACTTCTAGTCTTAATCTTGGTCTTGCTGATATAGTCTTGGTCTTGACCTTCGTTTTGCTGATAGAGTCTTGATCTTAGTCTTGGTCTTCCTCAAATACTGCTACTCCGAGTCTTGGTGATATAGTCTCGGTCTTGGTCTTAGCCTTGTTCTTGCATAAATACTTCTAGCCTTAGTCTTAGTTCTCTTTCTCTTGATGATGTAGTCTCAGTGTTGGTCATGGTCTTACGTGTTAAGTCTTGGTCTTGCTCATTAAATCTGGTGCTTACGTTCTTTAGCATAAATTTTTCTATTTATAATGCTGAAATTTTCTGTCAGATATGTGAACTTGTCATGAGTCATGACTTTTAAAGGGAATAGTGTGGATAGTTTTGAGAGTTATGAAAACTCGAAAACTTGCCCTTCCTCCAATGCATAAATTGACCTTCTTGTAAAAAACATCGAAAACATATTAGTTTGTCTCTATGTTCTAATCGTGTGTTATCCAGACACAGGAACAAAGAATACTTACTCCGAGGACATTACTGTAGTTGTCATTTTTATAAATTTTCTGTTTTATATACTTAAAATTGTTTGTTCCAAGAAAAGAATATATTAAAGTTGCTTCAAGTAGTTTAGCTCATAAATCCATTGAAAGTAATAAATTTTTGTTTAGTCTTGCTTACTTGGTGTTGGTCATGCATATTCGGTCTCGGTTTCAGTCTTGATCTTGTTCGTTTGGTCTTGTTTCTAGTCTTGGCCTTGTTCCTTCGCAAGACAAAGTCTACAAAACCAAGACCAATTTTGCTCAATACTTTGAACAATGGATGTTATTACACTGCCATGATGAGTTGTGTTTCTGAAAGGGGAAAACTACGATGTTATCTAAAGTCGAAAAAGGTGTTGAAAATTTGTAACCTGAGCACCAAGGGATTACGATTTCTTGAAATAGTACTATTAGCTGTAATTTTATTCCAATTAATTCCTATACTTTTATTAATGAACCGATTAATTGACTGGGATATTCTCAATGTCCCACAATAGAATATACTAGTGAATAGTGCAAATTTCTTAGTCATTCAATTGAAAAATTCCAAAAACTATTTCATGTTTCAGATGAGATGTAGTCAATTCCTGAAATATAGAGATGTAGTTGATAAACACCCTGATAAACTGCTCCTTACATTATATTTCGTTATTCTATTCTAAAGTAGGTACATAGAGTAATTATTAATTATAATCCTCTTATTTTGTTTTTAGGATTGATATTAAGGCAGGAACTTTAAATTCCGGCATATTTCTGCCCTTATTGGATATTAAATCCCTCTACAACTTGAAAGGGAAAATTTTAGTACTTCCCTTAGTTGGAGAAGGGATTTGCCACCTGAAGTTGTCTGAAGTGGACACAAAAGTGGTGTCGAAAATTAGTTTTCCAAAAATAGCTGGCAGAGAAATTCTGAAAATAAATCAAATGAAAGTTACATTCACTGTTGGAGATATGAACGTTGAATTAAAAAATTTATTTAATGGAAATAAAGTTCTAGGTATGTGAAAATGCTTTTCAGCAATAAAATATATTCTAAATGTTCAGTAAAAGTTATAACAATGTAACTAGAACCTATTAAACAATTGGGATATTGATTGTGTTGTTTATTAAATATTTTCTTTTATGTTTCAGGGCAAACAGTGAACAGTTTTCTTAACAAAAATTCCGCAGAAGTGATATCAGAGCTCAGTGAAAGTATTGGGGATAGTTTGGCCATTATTTTTACTGATTTGATGAATGAAGTATTTAGTAAAATTCCTACAGATTTGTGGCTACTCGAGTAAAGACACAAACAGCGACAAAAAATACGGAAAATCTTAGGAAAATATTTTAATAAGTGTGCATGTGTAATTTGAACTGACTTTTGTACATATTAGGTAATAAAAATTTTATAAGATGTTATCTGACTTGACGCTTTATTTTAATTTTTTACTTGGACATCCTGGCTTTTTTAGGGTTCCATACCTTCGAATGAAAACGGAACCCTTATAGAGTCACTCGTGTGTCTGTCTGAATTAATTTCAAGGTATGCAACGAAAAATACTCCATAGTATTAGAGCTTTTATTTGCCTATAGTTTCCTCTATGAAAATCGTACTTTTAAGAGAAATATTAAGCTGGAATTACATTTTTTATATTTTTTAACAAAAGTGGGTAAATTATTTACACTTTACAATCCTTTGAATGAATTTTATGTGAACTGTAAGATTGATCGAGGATTATACTAGAAATCATTATTTAAAAATATATAATTTATTCATTTATTATTTCAATTTATTTTTCTTGTTAGTAAAATAAACATACCACATTTAAAAAATCGGTTTAGTTAAGATAAGATTTTATTAAGCGAAGCGGCCTATAGATGCTGCTAGATTGATGACGATAAGTCCATGGTTTTTCCAAAATTTCTCTCCATTTGTCTTTAAAACATATATGTATGTATGTTTCATTCAAAGAAGGTTCAGTCTAATTATGTTTTCTCGATTTCGCAAATCAACTGTAATCATTGGTTTGATACATTTCTAGAATTTCAAGGCACATTAACACTTTTTTTCACAATTTTGGTTTCTTCATATGAAACGCTTTTTTTTACTTATAGGTTGGTCTTTAATAGACACATATGTACATTGATCTCAGTGAGACGAAAAACCAAAAGCATTAAAAAATTAACAAATAATTTTTGTGTTATTAATAAATAATACAATTAATGTTCAGTTCAGTTGTGTATAAGGTAGGCAGCAGATATATATACAAGGGGAAAAAGCAAGGGCAGTGATATTTTCCTAAAATTCGGACAATGTTTTGGATAACTAGCTCAATCCATCCACAGTCCCACCGAAGTAGAAAAGCTAATTTCTGGATATAGAACGAACCTCGAATAACGGGGACTATAAAAGCCTTAACCTTCTTAATGAAAATTAGTTTATTTTTGGTGAAACTCTTGTATGAGAAACTGAAGATATTAAATTCTTTTAGGAATTGCATGGAGGATTTTTGAAATCTGTAAAACTATCATTGACCTACATACATTTCACGCTATCTCTAATTCCATTGGCTTAATTAACAAAGCTGCTTATTATACATTCGCGATTCCACACTTACGTATAAATGTATAAATATATATAGGATACACATAATATATTACATGCTTAATTTTAAATGATCGTGTACCCAGGAAGTTGACTTTAACCAACGGCAACGGTACCTGTTATCCGTGAGCAGTGATTTCTCCACGTTTACCTATTACATAATAATCTTTCAACCAGCAAACAATACGTCATATGGACATGTATTTTATAAATTAATACATTATGTTTGTATTTACTCTATGTTGTACTATGTATAGCAACTTTTAGTAGGTATTGAAAGTTCAGCAATGGAAAGCTTGAAAATACCAAAACGCAATGTAACATGCTGTAAAAACCATGGAAAAACCATTTGCTATAGAAATATCATCAATTGAATGTGATTTAATTCTAAGGAAAATTCTTTCAATTAATATTTGACGAAATAAACAACCCAATAAAAATTTAAATAATAAGTGACTTTAAAATTAAAACTCCGGGCAAAAATTGAATTTTTGTCTTGTCAATCCATAACTAATATTTGGTTTTTAATTTTCTTAGGGTGGGTATTAATTATGCGTTATATTTAGTAACAATTTATAAAAATATTCAAAACATCTTAATTACTACATTAAAATCTTCTTTACTTATTTTTTATTCGGCTGTTTTATCATAAATTAGGGACGAATTTCGAAAAAACCTCATTGGTCATAGTCTAAATTTTATAAGGAATATTTTCTTCAATTATGATATTTTTAAAAGCAATGATTGTGGTTGAATGTTAATATATTAGGCAGTTAGTCTATCATAAATTGAGACACAAAAGGTGATCATCACCATCATTGTAACGCTTTCGGCCCTAGGAGTGGTTGTACATGCACCACTTCTTTCTAACTTCGGATTTCTTGAAAACTGGAGCACTTAATATTTCTATTCGCGAACAGAAATCCAATCTAAGTCTGTCTTTGGCCCTCCTAACTTTGTTTTTGTCTCTAACCAACTTTTCATGTTTGAGGAGATGTCTTATCAACTCATCTCGCCTATTTCTTATTGACTTCCTTAGTGCTCTCTGTTCTCCTACCTTTTCTATAGGAATATTTTGAACGTCTTCAGATATTATCATTGTTCAAACGCTTCTAACTTTTGAAGATAACAATTTTCAGTTTTTAAGTAATCGCAGTTTACATTATATACTTTTTTAAATAGAATTGTTTTCGTAGTTATTTATTTGCAAATTATTGTTTTTTTTTTATGACATTATTTTTGACTTATTGTGAAGATTAACCAAAGTAGTGATGAACAAAGAAAAGCAAGATCAAGACTGAACGAAGAAGATCAAGACGGAACGAAGAAGATCAAGACTAAAACTAAGAGCGAATAGGCAAGTCCATCACCAAATAAGCAATATTATCGACAAGACCAAAATCTAAACTATATCAGCAAGATTAAGAATTAATCCAAGACTAGAAGTACTTGAGCAATGCCAAGACCAATACCAAGACTGGGACAGTCTTGCTCTTCGTCTTGCTTTGTTCATCACTAAACCAAATAAAGGTAATTTTCACTATCAAAGACAATCCTCATTATTAATACTTCTCCTTTTGTAATCCTTGGACACTAGGACCATCTGATGAACCTAATTTAATTTTTATTGATAATACTACAATTAATACCAATCAACTGCACGAAAAGAAAACAATCTTAAGTTGCAGGCTTTTAAATTAGTATGCCTAAGAATTTCTAATTTCTTGTTTAATTAGTTTTAGATAAATGTAAGCTGGTTGTACTGTAGTATAGTTTTGTATACAGTAGAAATGTTTTGGACAATACAATTTATTTCTTAATACAAAAGAAAGCATTTAAAATAATATCTAATTTGTATGTTAAAAGTGACTTTCATTCGCAGGCCTGCCATTAAAGAAGTTTTGAAGGTAGATATTATGTAAATTGTTTTATTACATTAACTTCAACAACATTTTTTTATTTGGCTTAAAATGATGCTTATAATTTCTTATAAATAAGATTACGAATTATTAATCCTCTTAGATAAAACAATTAAACGATTTCGTGACTTCGCGTATGATATAATTTTCCTTTAAACTATTAATAATTAATTTTCACACACCTTAGTCAATTAGTTTGATAGTAAAATTTATCATACATAAGTGTAGGTACCTATGTACATAGTTTTTATATTATTGTTTTATTCAGCTTTGTAAATATTAGTGTGGCACGTTAGTACGTGTTCCTCCTAAAACTAAAGGTAAAGATAAAAGATTCAATGGGAGGCCCCCTCTTTGCGAGCTGATATAAAACTAAAGGACCTCACTTTCTCCCTGGCAAAACCGATAATAATGTGTAGCAAGTGTCAAAGTATACCGTGAAAATTAGGACTTATCTAAGTTAGTACATCAAATTTAAATTATTTTATTTTTTAAGTGTTTAGGATAATAAAAAAAGTCATCTACAGAAATGCATTTCTTACTAGTCTGTATTGTGACTGGATCTCTTGGACAGATCGTAGCGTCCCAAGAAGCAATAAAAAACATCAGTTTGAAAGCTCGTAAGTCTGTTAATTTAATTTTCTTGCTGAATTAGTTTTTACATTTTGAACGAATGAACTGAAACTAATTATTATATATACAATTCAGCTTTCAGTATTTACTAAATACAGGCTTATGATATATGTTAAATTGTTTTTAATAAACATGTGTTAATTTTGTGCTTTTAAGTATTTAAAATCAAAATTTCTTTCTAAATTTCTTTCTGCTAAAATTTCAAGAAAGTTATTTATCTGTGTTATCAAGTCTAAAACAAATTTGGTAATTATCGTTTAACCGAATTTACTAAAATGACTTGACAATTTCTTAGACACGGATATGATATTTATTTATTTATCTATCGTATATATTGTTGGTTTTGTTCGGGTTTTATAGGTTTTCTTTACTATTTTCATTTATTAAATATCACTTTAGAGTTTTTTTGTTGCAAGAATGTAGCCTTTTGGGTTGACACAGATAATTTCTCCGAAGTAGGCCTTGCTAGTGAAAATGAAAGTTCTCACGTATCCATTACAAATACATGAAGTAATACTTTCCTTATACAATGTTAATAGGCGTTTCATCAAACGCCTAATATTATTCAATAGATGTAATTAATTTATTAAAAATGTTTATAAAAGCATTTCTTATATTTTTAACAAATTATGCAATTCAATAGTTAAAAGATAACCTTTGAAATACTGTTTCTAATAAGAAATACGTTTTAATAACAATTACTTGCATTGGAAGATGATTTGGTAAATTGTAGAACGTAGAAATAAGTAGCGATATTTTACATTCAATTGTTTTGTCATACGCCTAGGCGTTTCACTTAAAGCATGTAGGCGCATTGGTTTATTGCCACATAAGGCATACTTTGATTTTTTTAATGTGGCGGATGAGGTAATAAAACTGACACTAAGTGATCGCCATTACCTACGCCTAGCTATAATTGTCTATTGTTGTACAAAGTTCAAAACAGATTTAGCATTTATTATAAACAATAAGAAAGATTGTCCCTTAGCATCGTCGATAAATAAGGTTTGAACAGTTTTATTTATGAGTTCTGATTTCAATTATTCGACTAAGGAAGCTAAGAAATCTTTTAAAACTTTTATTACCTTAACTGCCACTTTAAAGAACTCATATTATAGGTTTCATATTACTTGTGCATTAGAAACATGTGTTCGTAGGTGGGAGCGGAGAGGTGAAGACGCAGAGGGTGGAGATAATCTAAAATTTGAAAAAAAATAATAATTTTGTCTTACCCAACGGTAATGTTTACAAGTTTGAGTGATTTTTGTATTTTTGTGGGGTTCAGATGTAATTTACTTCAAAAAGGTTTTTAGTTTGAGTTATGCTCGTTTCATAGAACATTCAATTATTGCACAACAATGCTTCAGAAATCTTTATAATGTGAAATTTAAGGATGGGTTAAGTTAGGTTAGTTACTTTTTAAATTTTCTATTTTCCATCTTTATACCCCTTGCGAAATAGGGAATAAAATATATTTCTCATATAGTGTGAGTTTTATGTCATAGCGAATAGTTGAGCTCATTTTATATTTCACGATGTGTGGAACAATGCAGTAAATTGTCAGGCGAACAATTAATAATTTGGAACTTTGCCTTCCTAAAATGACCAGAACATTACAATGCGATTTTTTAATATGCCGATATCTTAAATATAGTTCAAACGGCTTCGTTTTAAACAATATCTTCCATTATACAAAGTCATTTCGTCATATAATAAATTTTGTGTATGAAATTGATTACGAAAATACATAGGACAGTTTTTATTAAAAATACTTAGTGATTAAAGAAAGTCTTTCGTATTTTAATTAATAGATCTTTGCCATAGAAAAAAATATTAAATAAGTATATAAAGCAGATTAGTAGCATTATGAGTGTTATAGTGACACAATTTTTTAAACAAAAAATGTAAGAATTCATGAACGGTTATGTCTCAATGAAACGGATTACATAAGCCAAAATATCTACCTTAGACTGGTTTCAAAAGAGGCTTTAATGTATAGTCCTTTTTCTAGCTGACCTTGTTGTAAACACAAGAAATAATGTTATTCTTATAAAATTTAAGAAACAGTATAAAAAGATGATTTGTTATACTATAAAGTATACTTCACTCCAACTAATTTCTAATTACAGACTAAGGAAATGTAATACTGCTGTAAGCATTATAAATGTTTAATCTATGCAATTAATTTACTGAACAGTATGAGTAGCATTTGGGTCTCTAAATTTCTACTTATACGTTTAAAAGTATTATTTTTCTTATTTTCTTTAATATTAGCCAAAAATGAGATACAATAAAGAAATGGAGAAAGTAGAACGCATGTTATGAACAACGCACAAAAAAATAAAAGCTTTCCATTTCGGATTATCTATTATATAACCAAACCTATCGTTTAACAATTTGTTTTTCGCATTTATTTTGTAATATTTTGCAATACTACACTGCAAAGACAACACGTGTGGATAAGTACTTACTATTGATAAACCATGTTCGGAGTGAAATTGAAAGGAATGCCACCAGGTATTGGTGCAATTACTTAATGTATTAGTTTTTCCAGAAAGCTGAAAATTTCATTGGACTATTCAATACAGTATACTAAAGAATATTAATAATGTAATAGTTCTTTCTAAAATAGTATTTGCTTGAATCTTGAAGAAATACTTTGGCCTTTAACTCTAACTAAATGAACTGTTAGGTTCAGACTACGGCTAACATTTTCAGTGGTACTGCATTAACTACGTTGCTATCGAGACTTCAAGTCTTTACCTAGTACGGCTGAGGATGTCAGCCCTAGCTGCCGACGAAACGTATGGATATAACAGTTCATTTAGACCATGGTCCTTCAGCCCTAATCATAATTCTATCAACCAAACTTTTTTATGATAAATGAGCATGTGATATTATGAGAAGATTATTGAGAAATTTAAATGGTAGTGATTTTCTTCAAAATGACGTGATCAGCCTTCGGTTTGCTAACTGGAGCATACTTTTGGAGATAGTACATTTACATATATATCTACACAACTTCCTCAAATCATTTCTTAAGTCAGCGGATGATTCAGATGGTAAAATTCAATTCGGTTACGTCAACATAATTCGTTGCTTTATTGCATAATTGTACAATTAAATTTGCTCTATTATTCTCTTCAAATTTCTGCCTTTCTCTAGTCCAATACCAAATTTCTTCAGTCGTTCAGTAAACGAGAGTTAGGTACCATTTGTATATTGATAATAGATACCTAATAGATGTCACGGGTGTATTCTCGATTAAACATGTTTTAATTGTTTACTTATTTAATTAGGTACTTGAAAACTGTTATGATATAATCGGTTATTCCCAAGAGCACAGGAGAATGTAACTGTAAAATAATTTTTGGGTAGTTGGGTGTACATCCCGTAGGAAAAATTTCCATTACCTACTCTATAATGGGAAACAATGGAAAATTTGTAAATTCCATTGAAAACCATTGGAAATAAATGAAAAAAAGTTTGTTCCATTTAGGATAATTCCATTAACAATAAAAATTTCCATTACCTACTCTATAATGGGAAACAATGGAAAATTTGTAAATTCCATTGAAAACCATTGGAAATAAATGAAAAAAAGTTTGTTCCATTTAGGATAATTCCATTAACAATAAAAATTTCCATTACCCGTAGGGAAATTTTCATTACACTTCAATGGGAAACAGTGGAAAATTTGTAAATTCCATTGAAGACCGTTGGACATGAATTGAAAATTAGTTTATTCTGTTTACTTTAAATTACTTTATGCTGTTTAATAATTCCATTACTAAAAAGTTTCCATTAATGTAAAAAGACTTACTCCAATTGATATGAAAATGAAAGAACAGAGATTTAAATATTTTAATACTTTATTCATACAATCTTATTAAACTTTTATTAATTTATAAATTATAGTTTTATTAATCTCAAATTGATTTACAATTGTGGTGCAGTGAATGTTTCCGTATTATCAGATTCTGAATTATTTATTTGCATACGTACACATTTTAATCTTATATTCGATGTTTTAACATATTTCCGACTTCTCCTTGATACTACTAATTTAATAAATGTGTTACTGGATATATTTAAAGCATAATCTGATTTACAAAATTAAAATATGAAGATAAGAAATTTGGAGTTGGTTATTTAAAAGACAAAATAAAATACATGATGCTGCATCTAACAACAAAGAAGATAATGTTTAAGATTTGTTAAAATTACAAGAGCTTGAAAATAAATGGTAATCATTTTTTTTAAAGTAAGTTATTATTTTATTCCAATGGTATTTCCATTGTGTTTAAAAATGGTAATCCCTGTTACGTCCTGGTTTTTCGGGTTCGAACGAAAAGTTCCCAGTAACGCACGACAACTAAATTTTATTTGGTAGTTGTTGAACCAAAAGTTAGTTTAACTTTATTTTTCTTTTAATTAGCTAACACTAGATCTTTCTATAAGAATGACGATGTTAAGCTTTCAAGAAAAACGAAGAAACGTTAATTTATTATTTATTTTGAAGTTACAACCGACAGAATGACAGCATAAATAACTTGCCTTGGTCTAATTGTGATCCCTAATATATAGTGATTTATTATCTAAATAAATATGGATAACAAGTATAAATATAGATACTTAAGAAGAACAGTATATTACATCCCATACATCCCATCGGCAATTCTCCATTTATTACCATTTATTATTATGAGTGGTAATTGAATGGCAATTTTTTAATGGAAATCTAATGGAAATTTTTCCTACGGGATATACTCTGGTGTAAAGCCAGTGATTAGGATAGAAGTAAAAACAAGAGGAACACGAAAAATTGTCTGTGGAATATTATTTTTGTGCTGTTGATGTGCTTTTTTTTAAACTTAAAAACAACGTCATTTTCTGTGTATCTGACTTTGTGTACTCATAAGATTTGCCAATGTTTCCAAGTGAATTTCAATCGTGCATGACTTCAGGGCACCACTAACCTCATTACAACCTCACTGCAATTTCTGATACTCCACCTGTCACAATACGCTTGTAATTATCTTTCTAGGTGTCTTAGAGCAACGTTATTCCGATTTACATTTATCTTATAGGAAGTTCAACGTGAAACAGTCTCGGTTTGGCAATAATTATACGAATGGATGTCGTAAGATCCAATGCAACATTATGTAACGTGCTTGAACTTGCGCAGGTTATGATATTTCTGGTCGGCCTTTCATCTTTTTAACTCTTTTTTTTTTTTAAACGTTGATTCCTGTATGCGTTTTATATTCTTCAATGATCCGACTTCAGTGTGCCGTGCATGTTCGTTTCAGGATGGAGACGTTTACTTAGAAATGAAGAACTTTCACTTGATGATTTACCTCGCCTTATGGATGTTATACAATATTCACAGTCATCCATTAATTTAATTGTGTGTGTGTGTGTGTACTTCTTTACCATATTTCCTTACACGCAAACATACAATCGGATGTAGGTAATCAAGTCGCGATTATGAAATCAAAATAAATAATTACGTAACCAACTGCACAAGAGTGTGGATCATAAGGGCAAGAATAAGACGGAAGTGGAATTTGGGGATAATTTACTTCAATTCATGTAATTTATTACTATTTCAGTAGTCATCATCGTCATAAGGTTGTCAGTCCTGAGACTGATTGGACACTCACCCCCACTCTTTCCTATCCTGAGCTAAACTTCGCATTTCCCTAAAACTAGAACAGCCCACATCCTTAACTATTTGCGAACAGTAATCTAATCTAGATCTACCACTACTCCTATTAACTCCTGTTTCTGCCTCTAATATGTCTCTGACTAGACCTTCATGCCTAAGAAGGTGTCCTACCAACCTATCTCGCCTATTTT